CGGCACCCAGCTCCACCTTTATTTTTAATAGAATGTACTTAAGATACTCAAATTTATGTAACTTCATTAATGATGGCTATGTTTAATACTGGCTGGCAAAAATTTTCCTGTAAATTTGCCAACTGCTTTTGTAAACTGGTACATGACTGCTCCAGCAATCTACTGATTGCGATGAATGTTTGCTGGTCAAATTCAAATGCAGGGTTAATATTATAGTTAATGTGCGGCGATCTTACCTAACCTTTCATTGCTAGTCCTTGACACATAAGTTCTTTTGTTGTTGTTTTCAACTCAGAACTGGAACTGGAACTGGAACCGTTCATTCCCCATGGCAGCTGTTCCAAATTTTTAATCTGCTTACAGAGGAAGTGATGGCCTGCCCACTCCCAGGCGCCCATCCTGATCCACCTGGGCTCCTGCTCTTGGCCATCACTCCAGGACATCAGACCTTTCAGAGCAGTCAGCACTTCCCAAACTGAACTCATTATTTTCTGCCTGAACTTGCTCTTCCTCCCCCTTCTCCACCTATTTTACGCCCTAACCACAAAGAACTATTTGTTCCCTATCTCATTTAATACCATCCCAATCACTCTGTTTACCAAGTTTGAACTCCTAGTCCCATGGTCGTAAGTCAAAGCTACATTAAAAAATAACCTGCAGCTGGGTAGCAAGGGCAGTAATTCAGGCTTAATTGGCCTGAGGTGTGGTCTGGGCCTTAAGGGAAGAGGAAGTTTAAAAAATTTTTTCAGATGAGTCTAATGTACAGCCAAGGTACAAACCACTATTTTAGTGTCATCTTTACTTGCTTCCTCTTAGCATTTATTATTTTTTAATTGAATGCCCAAACTTGTCAATTCTGCCTCCCAAATGTCTTTCCAACCCACTGCTAATCTCCATTTCTATGTCTTTTCCTTGTCACCTTCTCTCCTGGACTGCTATACTGGCTTTTTGACTTGTCTCCCCAGTCTTTCCTCCTCTATTGCATCTGATTTTAACTGCCAAAGTGATATTTTCAAAATACAGGTCTGGTCGTGTCTTACACCCACTGCAAAGTCATTACAGTGGCAAACATTTGCTCCATAATATTTGGATACCAAAAAAAAAAAAAAATCACATTCCACTATCTTTCTAAATCAAATTAAATTTACTTTGAGTATCCATTTTCTAGGCGAGTGCCTTATTAGTGACAGTTTTTCTTCCTAGAATTGTACAAGAATCCTAGGAAGCTAAAAAGTCTAGAAAGTTCTGGGCACACCCCTCTGGGTCCATCTCAGTCACTGCTGAGATGCTCTTTGTCTCTCTGATTCAAACAGAAAACAAATCTTTCACATTTTCTTGCCACAGCATCATAAGTGGAGCTTCTCTGGGCCCAGGACATAATTACCCTCAATCTGGGGCACTGTGTGTCAACTGGTGTCCAGGAATCCACCACAAGGGACCTGCTACCCCAAAGACCCAGACCCTTCCCTGTTTTGGGGAAACTGACTCTGCCTCTTCAACCCTGGAAGGCTCCCTTCTCCCAGAGAAACCAGCTTCAAAGTTCAACCCAGGGCCCCTGGCCTGGAAGCCTGAAACAATCCCCTGGATGGAGAGGAGAATCCTGGCCCTGGCCTGTTCTGAGCAGTTCATATCCCTGGACTGGGCTTCTCTTGCCTAGGTGGAAAGAATGGTGTGTCCTCTCAGCACAGGTGGCTATGACTTCCCCTTTCCTAGGCTTCTGTTGTGGCCCCACCCACTGTCGTATCAACACATTCCTCCTTCACTTGACCCTGTCCAGTTACAAAATAATAGAAGGAAGGTGCGGTGCAGTCAATGATTAAACAACCCTATTGTTAATTGGTCATTTACTTGCAAACTCCAGCATCCATCCAAAAAAGAGCTCACAGGAGCTAGAGTCTCTAGTCTGCTCAGCTTGTCACTCAGCATCCCTCTTGGTTACTCTGGCCACCTTCCCTAGGGTCTGCAGGGGACATATTGAGCATTAATGAACAATGTAGTCCCCCAACCATGGTCTCCATTACTTTGCTTATGCTGATCTCTTTGCCTCCAATCCCTTCCCTTGCCCCTCCTATACCTGGTGTGCTCCTATTTTTTTCATTTAATACCCAATGAAATGTCACCTTCTTCAAAAAACTTCCAAAATTGGGCTGGGGTTGAGGGCTCAGTGGTAGAGTGCTTGCCTCGCATGCATGAGGCACTAGGTTTGATTCTCGGCACTACATAAAAATAAATAAACAAAGGGTATTTGTCCATCTACAACTAAAAAAAAATATATATATATATATATATATATATATATAGAAAAAAAAACTTCCAAAATCATCTCCCCAGATGCTAGATTTAGCCTTCCATTTCATAGCATTCATTTTATAGTTATTGCTTCATCTCTCCCAGGCCTACACAAAACACATTCTATCTCTCACTGTCATGGGTAGAAATTGTGGTTTTCAGATCTTTGTATCTTCAGTACCTTTTATAAGTCAGGCATATGTGCTAGGCGGGTTCCTAGAGTTTTAGAACTCTAAGGAAACTTGGTGTCATCTAATCCAGCCATATTCTAACTTTTCCAGTTTTTTTTCCAAACATCTTACATGGCAATATTTAAACCAATTGTTGCTAAAAGCTCAGTCCTTGTCCTTGAAGCCAATCCAATAACCAGGACATGGTTTTGAGAAAAAGGAAAAAAGAAGGTTTATTGCTTTCCTAGCAAAGGAAAAATGCAGGGGACTCCTGTCCCAAAGGCTGTAGTTTTGCCCATCAGCAGGAACAGGGCGTTTTTAAAGAAGTGATTAGAGAAAATGAGATTGGGGAGGAGAGATCAGGAAGGAGAAGATTAGGGAGAAGAAGGTTGGGAAAAAGAAAAAAAACATGTAACTTTCAAAGCCACAAGGGATATAGTCAAAGCATCAAGTGAACCCCTGTAACACATCGGGGGTAGAAACTCTAGATAAAAGAGAGGAGATATGGTGTGGAGAGAGGGCCATCCCACAGATAAAGGTCAAAACCCACAATGCCCTCATGTTACAACTAACACAACCAAAGCCACAACCCTTGGAAAGTAGTCACTTTATCCTCTCCATCTTATCAAATCATCACAGGTTCATAAGAAGAATCAATGGCCCATTTTTAAAACCTTCATGGGTTAAACAATTTCCTTTGCCACATTATTGTACATCCTATTAACCAATATTTCAAGGAAGGTGTTTACAGGCAAGTTATTACTATGTCAGTGTTGCAGAAACATGTACAGCAATTATCTGGGTTTTTTTTTTATTGCTTTAAAAATTTTCCCCTATAATATTATGTGGGTGTTTGTGAAATTAAACAGCTTGAGTCAGTGCCACAGAGTTTTGCTGGTGTGCCTCTGAGTAGTTCCGACCTGCAAAAAGATTCTGCCAAGGTGAAGATCCCCCGGAAGGATCTGTAGTCCCTTATTACGAAGTTCAATTTAGTTTTTCTTATTCTTTTCTTTTTCCCAGCTGGGGGTCAAACTCAGGACCTTGAGTATACTAGGCACTTGCTCTATCATCAAGTTATATCCCCAGCCCTCCAATTTGTTTTTTCTTTATGCTGTTATTGGTGTTTTTAAACAATGCCAGGAAGCTATCCAAAGTGACAGTGAGGGGTGAAGATGTAACTCACTGATAGACAGCCTGCCTAGCATGCATGAAGTCTTAGACTTGATCTTCAACATGGCAAAGCAGAAAAAAAGTCTCAGTGTGTTGAGATGAAACTTGCTTTAAGGGTGGAAGCATTTGTTCATATAGATCTTGAGAACTTTTAAGTTACAAGGGAAGCCACTAGAAATTGTCAGGGTCAGATCACAATTGCTGGAGGAGTCAATGCACATTATGAGGTACCAGGAGGAGATACTGCTAGCTCTATTACACTCAAACTCTTTGAGTCTGGTACTTCCTCTCCCTTGCTGCCCTCTCTGCCTGGGCTCACCATCTCTGGCATGGACTCTCGATGTTTTCTCCTAACACAGAAAGGCAGCTCCAATGCCTATGCAATGAGGAAGTGGATTCCAGGAAGGGAAGTTTGGGGGCAGTCTCATGTCAGTGGACCAGATCTAGCTCTCTTTTAGACAAGATCTAACTTGCTTGTCAAAGGGACAAGAAAAGTTATTAGGTTGATTCTGTAGTCCCGATTACTTGGGAAGCAGGAGGATCATTTGATACTAAAAGTTCGAGGCCAGCCTAGGAAACATAGCAAGACCCAATCTCAAAAAAAAAAAAAAATAGAAATACAAACAAACAAATAAATAAATGTCACTGAAGCTCTTTGGGTGCCTCTTTCAGTGTATTCCTCAGGGATTTTAGTTTATACCACTTTCTCCTGTTACCCAGACTCCATGATGGAAAACATGGTCTTGATCCATAGTTGAAGCACATTTGCATTCAAGAGACCAAACCTGGCAGGAACTAGAATCTCCTTGGCTGAATTCTGAATTCCCCTGCAAGGGATTCTAACTGGCCCTGACCAAGCACCACTGTCAGGTGGAAGGGGCAGAGCCAGGCTGGGAAAGACGAGCAAGATAGATGACCCAAGGATAAACCTACACCTCTGCCCTGTCAGATGGCACAGTCATTCTTCCTCAAGTAGAGCTCTTGCCTCAGCTGCAGTCACCTCCTGTCTAGGATGGGACAATGGGATGAGAATATAATCTATCCTGCTTCCTCTGCCTTCCTCACAGCATTATGAGTTGTTGATCTCTAATAAACTCCGTGTCTGTGTCTACTTCCAGCAAAGCCAAGCTTTGGCAATGGCACATATTCTTCTGCCTGCCTCTTGGGTTCCCATCATCTGTCCCAATACACCCCACCTCAGACACCATCTCTTTTTTTTTTTTTTGGTACCCTGGATTGAACTCAGGGGCGCTCAACCACTGAGCCATATCCCCAACCCTTTCTTACATTTTATTTAGAGACAGGGTCTCTCTAAGTTGCTAAGGCTGGCTTTATTATAGGGAGCCTCTCAGAAACAACTCTAAGTCTGAATTTAAACAAAAGAGAGCTTTATTTACCGGTCAGGGACTGTCACCCGTAGATAGTGACTGATGCTCTGTGGGAGAATAGCAAAAGCCTTTGAGGGAAATTCGCTATTTAAGGAAGAAAACCACATCCTATGGAATTTTTCTGTTAGCAAGCAAGCAAGTTACAGAAGCTAAAAAAAAAAAAAAGCTGTTAGCAGAATAACTCAGTCAACTGCATCTTGGGTCTAATCAGGTGCTCAGAAGGGGTGAGAATCTACTTCAAAGTCAAATAGGTCACCAAGACCACCATATCCTGGGTTGAGTACATTTTGTGGGGTACAAAGTTCAGAAGACAATATATATTTTTTGCATTTAGCAGAAAACAGTTTTCATTTTGTTTTCTCAGAATGGGTCCTGAAGATGTCTCTTCACAGGAGCAGTAACAGAAAAACCAAAGTCAAGTCTAGAATAGATGAGATGGAGTCCCTATGGCCACAACTGTTTGATCGTAGACATAGTGACTCCATTCTTGCTACTCCCACAAGGAGGGAACTATTACAAGTGATCTGGTAGTTTTACCCCAGCAATTGCTTTACATAACCAGTATTAGTATCTTATTTAATGCTTACTGAAGACTATAGTTAACTTGTGGCCTACACACACATATTTACCTATTATTTTATTTTTATTATCTTACTTATCAAAATCTTGTTCCTATAGTCTAGAACTTATACCTATAACTTATTGATCAGTTCACACCACAACAGCTTTGAACTTACGATCCTCTTGCCTCAGCCTCCTGAGCCACTGGGATTACAGGTATGCAACGTCACACCTGGCAGATTCCACCTCTTCTAAGAAGCCTTTCTTACTTGCTCCAGTCAGATGTCCTCTCTCTCTACCTGGTGAAGTGGTGTGTCTCTTCTATTGAACATGCACCATTCCTCCTAATATTGTAGCTATTTGTGAGCTTTTATACCTGCCACCAAAACACACTAGTCAGTAAATCCTTGATGTGCAAGGCCTCTTTTTGCTTTATAAAAACTATTTATTTACTTTCTTTTAATTAATTTCTTCTTTTTTTCTGGTTGTGGGGATTGAACCCAAGACACATTACCAATGAGCTACATCCCCAGTCCATTTGCTTTTTATTTTGAGACAGGATCTGGCTAAATTGCTATGGCTGGTCTTGGACTTGTGATCAAGCCTCAGCCTCCTGATTCAATGAGATTACAGACATATACCACCATATCTGGCAAAAACAATTTATCTATTTTGTGGTTTTGGGAATTGAACCCGGGACCTTGTGCATTATAGACAAGGGCTTACCACTGAGCTCCACCTCCACCCACATTTTTGCCCCACCAATTCTCTTCCCATCCCTCAGTGAAAGACTATAAATATTCCCAACACCTTGGAAGAATCTGGTGGTAAATGACCACATTCTGCTAAAGTTCTTTAAACTTTTTTCTTTAAAATATAGGGTAAGAATAAGTTTTAAAATATAATAAATTTGCCAAGTTGTTCAACCTTCTCCACTAGCCTGTTATCTCCTTGATAGCAGAGAGCATTCCATTATCAATTTGTTCACATCCCTCCTGAACACATTTGTGAGTACAGGATACAGGATGGAGGCTAGACCCACATGTCTGCAGTCCACTAGGCCTGGGTCACATCCTGGCTCTATCAACTTCCTTCACAACCTTGAGCAAGTCACTTCATTCATTCAGCGTTCAGCTTTTCACTTGTAAAATGGGAATAACCCCTGCCTCATAGGGTTGTGGAAAAATTAAATGTTTGCATCAAGTACAGTGTCTGGGTTAGATAAATGATAACAAGTAACTCATTTTATCTATTATTAAAGGATGTTCTATAATGTTTATGAAATGACAAATAATACAATGAAGGAAGAAGAAGAAAATAGCTTGGAGAAAATCTGCTTAGAGGGCTGGGGTGGTGGCTCAGCGGCAGAGCGCTTACCTCACATGTATGAGACCCTGGGTTCGATCCTTAGCACCACAGAAAAATAAATGAGTGAAATAAAGGTATTGTGTCCAACTACAATTTAAAAAATTTAAAAAAAAGAAGAAAAGAAAATCTGCTTAGATATTTGGGGAGGGTAGAGATCAGGAATTGTAAGGCATGTGAACTTCTTAACTGTTTCATCTTACTTTTAAACAAGAAGGAGCTGAGGTCCAAAGCAAGCAATCACCTATAACAGGTGCTTAATAAATGGAACAGAGACTGAAGAGGGAGAGGAAATAAAGGAAATGAATCTAAGATTAGGACAGGAGCTGGAGATGCAGTGGTAGAACACTTGCCTAGCATGAACATAGGCCCCAAGTTCACTCTCTCAGTACCTCCAAGAGAAAAAAATAAATAAATAAGCCTAAGACTAGTGTAACTGTTCTGAAACCTTTGGGTCTTAGGATCCCTTTATGACCTTTAAAATTTTGCAGTCAGGCGCTGTGGTGCTCCCTACAATCCCAGCTACTCAGGAGGCTGAGGCAGAAGGATTTCAAGTTTGAGGCCAGCTTGGGCAATTTAGAGAGATCCACCCCCCAACCCCAAAGCAAAATTTAAAAAAAAAGTTGAGGATCCTATGAATTTTGTGTATGTGGCTATACCTGCTGATATTTCTAGTATTATAAATCAAAATTGGAGACTTAAATTTTTTAAATTTTTTTTATAAAATAACAGGGATGGGAGTATAGCTATTTGACTTGATCCTTTTACTTTTGGGGATTGAACTCAGGGTCTGGTGCAGGCTAGGCAAGAGCTCTCTCCCTGAGCTGAATCCCCAGCCCTGTTCTTTTATTTTTTGAACAAATTTTATTTTAGAACAATTTTAGATTTATAAAAAAATTGAGAATGTAGTAAAGAGTCCCACAAACCCCACACCCAGTTGCCCTTATAACATCCCACATTACTATAGTACCAACAATGAACCAATATTTATACTGAAGTCCATGTGTATGCGAGACAAGCACTCTACCAACTAACCTATATCCCCAGCCTGGCAACTGAAATCTTAATACCTACCTCCCAAAGCTGATGGGAGGATAGATGAGCTCATGTCAGGGCCTGACACAAAGAAGGTTCTCAATAGATATTCTTTCTCTTGCCCCACTGTAGCCAGTACAGCAACTTGCACATCTTGCTCAGTTAACTTCTTGTGAATTAGTGAATGCAGTCAGCCTTTATTATTCCAGGAGATCCTCTTAGGGTCAAGGCTGCCCTTGCTGGTCACTTTTGGCTTGGTTCTTTAACAATTTTGAAGTCCAACTGGATCTGGACTAAATGGTGTTCTTTCACCACAGCTAGATACCCTGTGGGAAGTCACAAGTATTCAGGAGAATACTTGATTCATCTAAAGATAGAAGGTATCTTCAGTCAAGGTCAAAGGTCTGAGTCTTCTGATTTTCAAGAGAACCCCTAAATTCACTAGCAACAGATTAATTTATTTTTTAACATCACACAGGGAAAAGTTAGAAGTGTCTAAAGTTGGTTTTGGCTGCCAGGCAGTCAATTTGCTGCCTCTGCTTACAGACAGACAACATGAGCCTGCTTTCCTGTGACCGTGGAGGTAAGGGCCCTTGGCCTTAAGAACACAGCCTTCATGCCAGGCGTAATGACGCATGCCTATAATTCCAGCTACTTAGGGAGCTGAGACAAGAGGGTCACAAGTTTGGAGCCAGCCTGGGTAACTTAGTGAGACCCTGATTTGAAATAAAAAATAAAGAGGGCTGGGGATGTGGCTCAGTGGTAGAGCGCCTCTGGGTTCAATCCCCAATAATGAACAAAACAAAATAAAAACCAGCCTTGCACAGGGCTGGTGGACTGTCCTCACCCCCAGAGCTTCTCCAGGCTAAAGGCTAAGAGAAGAGGAAAAGATTTGCAGATGCAAAGACGCCTGCTATCTCCTGGACTCCTACAGTATTCCTGCAAGGTAAGTGTCATCATCATCCCCATGTGACAGAGAAGGGAACAGCTCAGGAATATTTTCATCATTTGCCAAAGCTCCGCTTGGCTTCTAGGTTACAGTACTAGGATTCAACCCAGGATTATCTGATGAGTTGGTAAATCCTGACTAGACTGTATTTGAAGACTCTAAATTCATAAAGAGAAGAGAGAAATAGAGCCTTCTTCCTCTCTGTCCTTCCAGACTCAGGCCTGGGCTCCTGCAGTCAGTGCTCAGGAACACCGTTGGCTTAGGATCAGTTGGTTGACCAAGTGAAGACAGGTGTATGGCCATATTTTCTCAAACCTGAAACAAAATTTAAAAATTCAGATTATCTCTGCCAGATAGATACACTTCTTCACCACATAAGAAAAATCCACACACCTGTAAAAAATTCGGTCATCTGAATTAAGTCGTTGGAGTGGTTTCAAAGAAATACAGAAACAAATATTTAAAAGAATAGAGTTGTGATTACTAATCGTCTTTTCAGAAGCTGTTCCCATTTTCCCTTCCCACCAGTACTCTGAAAGAACATTTTTCACAATTAAAAAGAAAAGTCTCTTGGCCTGGGGCTATACCTCAGTTGGTAGAGTGCTTGTGCTCACATGCACAAGGCCCCCGGGTTCAATCCCCAGCACCACAATAGATAAAAACAAAATAAAAAGTCTCCTATTATTCTTTCAGGAGCAAATCCTGAATGGTATTCCGTATGCTGGAAACCTCGAGTGAGTAAGTGGCTAGCCATGATGGCAGAGAGACCTCAGCTATTTCCAGTGATTAATATCTCCATGTCAGTGTTGCGCAATACGGAACTCAAGTTACAGACTCAATCCAGTGAAAAGATGTGAAAGGGGTTTAGAGTAAAAATACCTATTGAAAGACTCTCTACCTATAGAAACATGCAAGATAGCTCCCGTGGAGTATATCATCATTTTCCTAAAAATTTGGCAAGAAGCTCACAGGAGTCCTGATAAGGCTGGCAGCATGGAAGAACATTTCCTCTTCTTGGTGGCACCCAGCCAGCTTCTGACAGCCCCATGCCAGCTTCCCAGCGCTGCAAATGGCTCAGAGTGTTTTTTTTTTCTTGACTTTATTATTCTAACTCACAACCTATACAAGGGATGAAATATGAAGCAATAGCAATGAGCCATGACCAATTTAAGGTGAAGTTCAAAATGCATAACCAAGCAACAGACTTAATCCAAATTCAGGATATTGGTACTAAGGTGGTCAAGCTCCAAAGAAGGCAGGGCCATTAGAAAAATAGAAGGAAAAGAAACTAAAATATTCCTTTGACTCTAGGTGGGGCCAGACAGGCAGAGATTTTTTTTTTCCTCCTTCCTGGAAGACTTGAAACGGAAGTTATGGATGATAAAAAACAATCCTCTATGTAATTCATGGAGGCTAAAATATCATTTGTAGCATTACAAGTAATTAGAATGCTACAGTCAGACTGATCATAATTTATTCATGCATTCATTTATGAAATATGTTTTGACACCCACTCTCTGCCCTGAAATTGCTCACAGTCCAGGGAGAGACCCAGTCATGAAAACAAATAGTTAAAAATCAAAAGAATAAATTATAGAACCAAAAGGTGGAGAGCATAGAGGAAGGGCAGTCCGACTCCTCCTTTGAGGATAAAAAGCTGGGTTAGGGCCTGAGGATCTGGGGCTACAGAAGGTAGCTGGGCTGCCAAAATCAAAAGTTTGAACCAAGTTCAGGATCTATGTAGAAAGACAAAGTCCAGAGCCAGAAGAAAGGTCCTAGGATGGAAAACACAAAGGAGCCAAAAGAAACTTCCCCTCCTGGAGCACAGAGTTCCAAATCTGGGGAGCCAGCGAGGCCAGATTGGTCACAAAAAGGGAGCATTAACATCAATTGCATGAGCACTCCCCTGTTGTTCCTGCATAACTCTCTCCTTTGGAACCTCTTCATTCATGATCAAGCAACTAAAGGGTCAAGCTGGTGCACCAGAGGCCCCCAAGAGTAGGCTTCATAATCTTCTTTTTTTAAAAAAAAATTGTACTAGGGATTGAACCCAGTAGTAATTTATTACTGAGCTACATCCCCAGCCTCTTTTAAAATTTTATTTTGAGACAGGACCTCACTAAGTTGTGGGGCTAGCCTCATACTATTAATCCTCCTGTCTCAGCATCCCAAGTTGTTGGGATTACAGGGGTACATCACTGCACTTGGAAGGATGAGGCTTCTTGCTAGGCCTGCTTCTGGGTTGATTTTGTGTAAGTGGATCAGTCAAATTGGAGGACTAAGGATGCAATGATGGGGGGGGTAGCTTGCTCTTTGGGGGCAAATGGGCAAAGTTTTCTTAGAGACATTGATAAATGGGTAGGAGTAAGTTAGTGGAAATAGGGTGTGTGGGAACTGAGTGTTCAAAGTGAGGAACTATGTGAGGGCCACAGATCCATGGATACCTGTTAGTCTGGACCAGTAGGATGGAGCCATTTGGGGGAGCCTTGGGTGCAGGCTGCAGGGCATGACTTTATCCTATAGACAGTGAGGAGAGCTTCTCTCTTTTTGTGTGTGTGTGGTGCTGGGGGTTGAACCCAGGGCCTTGTGCATTTGAGGCAAGCACTCTACCAACTAACTGAGCTATATCCCCAATCCAGGAGAGCTTCTCTTTAGCTCTCACTGCCTTACCAGCTAGATCTGAAAAGTAATGGACACCAAGCTTCTTCCTGTGTTCAGAGAACAACCACCAAGGAAACAGATTGAAGTTGTTTTTGTTTCTTGGTCTCTGTGCTGAGTAGGCCTGCAGATGTTCCAGTTTCAGAGAAGGTTTGTTTCAGAAAGTGCCCAGGGGTCTGCAGACATCAGGAGTAGCCTGAGTACCTTCTCAGGAAGATAAGCATGGTGAAGTGCCCCAAATCCCAGGATACAGCCATTTCTCTGAGCTTTAACCCATTACTTCTCAGACTCTCCTTTTTTAAACATTTTTTTTCTTTTTCTTTCTTTCTTTCTCCTCCTCCTCCTCCTCTTCTTCCTCTTCCTCTCCTTTTTTTTTTTTTTTGTTTTTGGTACTGGGGGTTAAACCCAGGGGGTCTTTACCACTGAGCTACATTTCCAACCCTTATTTTTTTTTTATTTTAAGACAGTGTCTTGCTAGGTTACTTAGGGCCTTGCTAAGTTGCTGAGGCTCACCTTGAACTTGCCAGCCTCCCAAGTTCCTGGGATTACAGGTGTGTGCCACTGTTCCCAGTACCTCTTAGTTCTCAAAAGGACCACAGAGTCTGCAATTGACCAAAAGTAGTTTTCACAGGCCCCTTGTGGTAAATAATACATCCTCATACTGAAAGAACACTCTTGCCAGGCATGGTGATGGTTGCCTGTAATCTCAGATACTGGGGATGCTGAGGCAGAAAGATGGTCTGGGAAACTTTATCTCAAATAATAAAACAACAATAATAATAATAATAGGCTGGGGATATAGCTTAATGTGCCCTTAGCTCATTCCCAAACAAAAACAAAAAACACCAGTGGTAAAGCACCTGGCTTGCATACATGAGGCCCTGGAATCCATCCCCAGCACTGCAAAAGTAAATAAAAGAACACTCTCTTACTAGGGACATAGTCCATTTGTCCCTGTCTGTTCCATGGGGAAATAGCTGGATTATCTAAAATACTAAGCCATCATCTGAGAATTCCACACACACTTTCTTCCTTCCCATCTACTTTTATGCACAGTTCTGCTTTGCAGACTTTCAGTAACCCTAAATCAACAGTGGTCAGAAGATATTAAATGGAAAATTCAGTAAATAAGCAAACCATAAGTTTTGAATAACTGTATTACAGTTCATTATTCTAATTGCTCTATATTATTATTAGGTATTAATATCTTACTGTGCTTAATTTATAAATTAAATTTTATCCTGGGTTCGTGTATACAGGAAAAATAGTATGCAGTATGTAGGGTTTCAGGCATCCACTGGGGGTCTTGAATGTATTCCCTACCCCCACCCCACAAGGGGTCCACGAGGTAATCCGACTCTTACCACTTTATGTGGCTCAAAGCTTCAGGAATTCCAAAGGATTATTTCACCCAGCCTTGCAACAGTCGTGGTGGGGAGGGGAGGAAACTGAGGCTCAGAGAAGGAAAGGCCCACCGTTGGTGAATCGTCATATCCAGGACACCGGGGCTGCGCACTTTCTGCTGGCCTGCTTGGTCTCTCCTTTCAGAAGCCGGCAGAGGCCAGGCAAATGCAAGCGGGGTCATTTGGCAGGAGTCTGAAGCTCTAGCTGAGTGTTCGCTTGTTGGGTTGGGTGAGACTGATCCCTTTATAACTTGATCATTCCGACTGGGCCAGAAGGACAATACCTTATGAAGGTGAAACGTGCGTGGGGAGGAAGGGCTCATAATAATGCTTTGCATTTATGGGGTTCTTTTTTCCCCCCGAGCGTTTTACAGTTTCCACGGAACTGAGTCACCAGCTCTGCTGCGGGGAGATGGCGCGCTTCTTAACCCTCAGCCCCTCCTGAGGATTAGGGAGATCAGACTGCTAGAGCTGACCTGGCCCACGTCTCAGCTGTTCGCCCTTTGGGGTTACCGTCCTCCGGTGTGGAGTAGAAAGGAGAGGGCTAGGGGCAGAGCGCCACATGCTCCTCCCTGACAGCTTTCCGGAAGCCCCCCGGTTCCTTACTCACAAGCCCCTAGAGAAGGAGCAGCTTTCAACAAATGGGAGGAGCCTCCGATCGGATCCTCCTTCCCCTTTCCTTCATTAGCAACACCGAGTGAGGCTAACCCGAGGTTGGGGTAGTTAGGGTGAATCTCAGTTTCGCAGTGGTAAAAATTATCAGCTTGCATTTGATCCACCTCCCTGACTCCATGGTGTGAGGGAACACACCGAGAAGTTAAACCCTCCCAGGGCGCCACATTGCGCAACAGTCCTACTGGAGGCTCTCTGCCAGGCCCTGACCCTGTGCCCCAGCTTCATGCTCCTCTGAGAAACTTCCTCCTTTGTACTTCTGCCTTACAGATCTGACTTGCAAATCTTCCTACTCTGCCTTGTAAATCTGATCCCACTCTTCAGGAACACCCCTGCCTCTTCAAAGATTAGGGTTTGAGGGGCTGGGGATATAGCTCAGTTGGTAGAGAGCTTGCCTGGGGGTTCAATCCCTGGCACCATAAAACAAAACAAAAAACAAGGTTAGGGTTTGATGTCACCCCAAACCATACCCTACTCAGCAGAACAATTCTTTCGATCTGAGTTATTTAGTCTGGAATGATATCCAGACAATTAACAGGACAAACAAACCACAGTGGATGGTGGTGCTGAGTCCCACACCACCCTGTGAATGTTGGGTATGCTTCTTCATTTTTCTAATTAAACTGTGGATGACTTTGTTCACAGTGCTGGGGTTGAACCAAGGGCCTCTGGAGTGCTATACAAAGTGTTCTACCACAGAGCTATAGACCCAGATAACTTTTAAAGCAGATACACATCTCTAATGAGCAGAACTTTCAGTTTAAGACCAAAGTTAAAAGAAGTCTGTGAACATTTTCTTTTTTTTTAATATTTATTTTTTAGGTGTAGATGGATACAACACAACGCTTTTATTTTTATGTGGTGCTGAAAATCAAATGAACCCGGGTCCCGCCCATGCTAGGGGAGTGCTCTATTGCTGAGTCACAATCCCAGCCCACTGTGAACATTTTCTGTTTAGCCAGTGTTATGTTTTAAAAGATGTTTAAGGGGGGATAAGCAGGAGCTTGTCTCTTAATCTTAATCTCTTATCTCCCCCACCCCCATACTGGGGATTGAACCCAGGTATGCTCTACCTCTGAATAACATCTCCAGCTTTTTATTTGTTTATTTATTTGTTTTATTTTTTGAGACAGGTTATCGCCAAGTTGCCAAGGTTGGCATTGAACTTGCAATCTTCCTGCCTCAGCCTCCTGAGTTTCTGGGATTACAGGCATACTCCAGAGTGCCTGGCGTGATTGCTCCTCTAACTGTACAAATACAGGGTCAAAGCTTCGAAACCAACTCTGGCACTGGGGAGGGATAAGCCACATCACGTCTCTATCACCAGGCTGCCGGAGGAGGGAGATGCTGACCTAGCCCTTGGACTAATCTTCAGATCGTGCTTTCTTTGCAGTGTGAGGAAAAAGGAGTTGCCTGAAACAGTTCACTGGGAGTTGGGAGAATGAAGGGACAGGCAGAGACATCAGTGGCAGTGGAAGATTCAGGTCAGGTTAACTGGAGGTCCCAACAGTTGGAACGTGGGCCACCCTCCACATCCCGAACACTCCTTCCTTCCCCAGCCCGACAGATGTGGTTAAACAATTACAGTGCTCTTTCCCATGGCTACTCTCTCACAAGCAGTAAGTGCATCAGGACATGCTTCTGTGCAGCCATCACAGCTGGATCAAAGCTGATAGTTGGAATGAAACTTATTTCCTATCTTTGATATGATGAAGCATATGCTGGAAGGCCAACCAAAAGACCTGATTCTCTTTTCAACTCCACTGTGGCCTCACTGGACTATCTGGGGCATGGGCAGGGCTGTTTACCTCTTTAGACCTGTTTCTTCAATGAGGTAGTAGGGCGGGTATTTAATTGGTTTTCAGCCTCTATTCAAGGCTCAGTGAGTGGAGCAGATGGGTAGCATGAGAAGGAGGCTGGAGGAGTCTAGAGAAAGGAAGGGGCCCCTGTGGGTCAGTGGCCCTGGGAGGGTCCCCAAGTTAGTAGAATTCATGCCAAAGCTGATGGACACTTTTAGATAAGCAGGAGAGTGTTTCAAGAGAATGGAATCAGCAAGGGCATAGAGATAAGAATGCACTGCACAGGGAGAGGGCGGGGAAATTATCCCTTACATTCCTGAAGCAAATTCACACATGAGTACACTTCCTGCATCCTGCCATGTGCCAGGTGTTTTGTTGGGTGCTGCAATCCTCCTGTGGATAAGACACAGACTGAGATATTAGCACTGTAAACTGGCTCTTTGGCCACACCGAGACATAAATTAGACCCGAAACAGCTTCCCCTGTGGCCCTTCTGAATAGCTAAAGAGATGTATCTTGACCCACACACTAGGGCCAAGTCTCCTGACTTGCTTTATGTCTTTGCAGAGAAGATAAGTGAAGTACTTCATGAGAAAAGCACTTTATAAACTATAAAATTCTCCGCAGATGTTGTCTATAGTTCTTAATTGTAGCAATAATAACACAGGGATGAGGTGCTGATGGTGGAGTTTCAGGCAAGGGCCTCAAACGGCAACAGACGGTAGGTAGAAGCCTCTGAAAATCAACTTGACCCTGACCTGCCACCTTCAACATTTTGACCCAGTTTAGGCTTCCCTTTTAAAAGCTCATCGAAATATTTCTTTACTATAATTACAGGCGAGGCTCAGGATCTCTCTGTCGTAAGAAGAGCTGGTAGAAAAGGGACAATTAACCAAGGCACATAATTGAAGGGTATATAAATATATCCGGTGGTAGATGAGGCCCCTTCCTATTGGATACTATTCCCAGTATCCAAGGGTGAAGATAGGAATATGCTTCATTTAAACCAGAGGAGGCCGAGGCCTTTATTATTGAAGGAGTAGTGAGGTGCCTGGGAAGGTGGGCGTGGAGGCCTCTGGGTGGCTCCTGTGTGGAGGAGTCAAGCCCTGCCTCCCCTATCCTGGAGGCTTTGCATGCTGCCAGCGGTGGCCCCATTTGAAAAGGCTGCTAATCATGAGATTGGAGGGAACATTTGGAGTAGAGACAGCGTGACTCCTGTCACTGAGCAGAACAATGAAGAGTTCAAAAATAGTAGTATCTGCTAGTGGAAAGCCAATAAACATATAATTTCCAGGTAATTACTATCATATAGTTAGCTCTTTGCTTTTATATGCCCCAGCGGAGATTGGGTTGGGAAGCCAATGTCATACAACTTAATACTGACAGTACATGCCATAGCAGGATGAAAAAAAAAAAATTAGTTTTCCAACAACATTTAAGGACCAGAGGGCACTGAGGTGGCTGAGCCTAGGTCTAACTCATACTGGCTGGTGATTGAGGTTCTTGGGTAATATAACATGGACCTGGACCCAGAGTGTGAGGACCTGGTATCTCTCTTGAGCCCATGGTGTGACTGCTTCTCTAGCCTCCAGTGTCCCTTCTAATCTGTAAAGTGATGGTGCTGAGCTGCAGCCTGCATTCTCATTACACCTAAGGGGTTGAAAATGGATTCTTGGGGAGGTGATAAAATTTTAGATAGAATAATGGTGTATGGCCCTCCAAAGTTCACCTATCAAGCAAAGATCTTCTCCCATAGTGTATTAGTCAACTTTTTGTATCATAATGAAATGCCTGAGATGGGCTAATTTGATAAGAAAGGAGTTTACTTAGCTCAGAGTTTTAGAGGCTGCAAATCCAAATGACATGATGCAGGCTCTGGTTCTATGGTTAGGACGGATGATGGATGGTGGATGGTGGATGGTGGATGATAGTTGGTGGAACACAAGTGAAAGAAGATCACATCTTGAGCTAGGAAGGAGAGAGGGGGTGGGCAGGCTCGCTCCTTTGATAACAACCCTCTCTGGGAACTACTGAGGGGTTCCTGAAGAACTACATCCCACCAATGACCCAAAGGCCTTCTACATGGTACCACTTTTGAAGAATCTACCACCACCCAATACCACTTCCATGGAGATCAAGCCTCCAGTCACACGAGAGAATACTCAAGCCATATCTAAACCACAGTACTTAGTATTTGTTTCTCTTATTGGGTTCTCTTGGGTATCAGATGAACAGTTCTGATATTGAGTTAGTGGAAGATTCTCAAAATGAATGCAAGATCAGTGTTATGGAACTTTGGCAAATATATGCTTGTGATTGGAGAATTTTATTTTCATCACTTGGTCTGTCAAAAAGTCTTATAATTAAAGTTGGCCTGTGTGTACTGGTTGGCTATCCTTAGCAGCTTATGAATATTTATGTTTGATCCTCAGTGCTCAGGGACATCATTAGGTGCCCTGTGCCACCTCTCCAAGTGCTGACAATAAATGTCAACAATATATGAAGGAATATAAACCAAGTGAGTATATATGAACAAATAATTAAAAGAAGAAAAAAACTCCCAAAAATGCTTTTTGGGAAGGGGAAAATATGTTGATAAATACTGTACTAGACTATTCTCAGAATCCTTCCAGACCTACAAATTCTGTAGGCTCATGATTGGGAATTGTCCTGTGGACTGGTATCTACACAGCTCAGTAATGTCACTTATTGTCTTGTGGATTTGGAAAGATTTTTTTTAGTCATTCTGAGCCTCAAATTTCTTATCTGCAAAGGAAGAATGCATATATGTATGAATAGGGGAAGAGAAGAAGACCAGGTGGACTAGTGTCTTCATTTGTATCCTCTCCAGAGCAGAACTTATGGCAGGACTTGAGTGTTTTCAGGGAGATGATCCCAGGAAGCAGGAGTGAGGGGTTAAGGAGAGTGAGACAGGGCAGGAGGGAGGGCCAGTAAACAGCGACTAAGTTGGTCACTGCCATGGGAAGGTGGGCCTCAGTCCTGCTGGGGAGCCCCTGAAGAATCATACAGAGGCATCTCAGAATTGATTCTTTTTTTTTTTTTT